GTGAGATCAACCATGTTCATGCTGCTGCTCACTCATGCGTGAAGGTCGTCTGCTTTTAGATTTTATCAAAGATGAAAAGTAGTAGCTGGCAAAATTTGACCTCTCTTCATTAATGCATTGTGCAACAATAGAACCTTCAACTCTTACAAGATTTTTCACCTTCTTCTTTAGGTGGAACATATATTGTTCAAAAGGATACATCCATCTATACTGAACGGGTCCTCCAAGTGCAGCTTCCCTTGGGAGATGAATAGGAAGATGTTCCATAACATCAAAAAAGCCGGTAGAAATATTTCTCAAGATTGCATAGAATAACAGGTATCTTTTCCTCTAAATTCCGGATACCGCCTACTGTAAGTGATCTCGTGCGCATATCTTGGAAGAATGCACTAATACCTGCATAATGGATAGAAAATTACTTATATTAATTATTATATATGTACATATATAATCAATTAATTATAAATGAGAAGTTACTAGCTAGTTATCAAAATTACCTGCGATAGCTTCATGAATGTTTTTAGGTAGAAGACTGGCAAAGGCAAATGGAAGGAGGCGTTGCATAAAAACATGGCAATCATGACTCTTCATCCCACACAACTTACCTTCTCCACTATCAACACAATTACGCAAGTTAGATGCATATCCATCAGGGAATTTGACACTTTTCTTAATCCAGTCGAAGAATTCTTCTTTTGAAAGCGCATTTAATCGGAAAGCTGGGGACAATGATTTTCCATTTGTCATAACATGCAGGTCTTTACGGGAACAAATATCAGGTAAGTCTAATCTTTCTTTCAGATTATCTTTGGTCTTCCCTTGCATATTAAGTACAGTATTCATGATGTTATCGAAAAAGTTTTTCTCAATGTGCATCACATCTAAATTATGCCGAAGTAGATGGTCTTTCCAATATGACAAATCAAAGAAAATACTCTTTTTGTTCCAATTGTGGTACTCTCCACATCCTTGATATATAATGGTTTTTATGGTTTTAGACCATGATATAGGTTTTATTTATAGAGCATTTTTAGTGTTTTTCGAGTCTTTTGGAGTCTTTACAGGTTTTAGGTGCGTTTGGAGCTTAATTGGATATATTAGAGCACTTCGGAGCTAAACAAGGATCAAATTCGTGAAGGATGAATTATGTGCTTTAGTGTCGCTCGACACCATGGAGAATGACGCTCGACACCGATCGCAGAAATAAGGAAAACTTGATTTTGTCCAAGTTTTGAATAAACTCTTGGGCCCAGAAGTTTCTAATATTTACAAGGAAGCCCAACACGTGTTTTTAGTCTTTTAAATAGGGTTTTTAGCCTCCATATGTCGATACTTTTTAAATTTTCGAAGATGACATCTTTTGTTTTTGGCTTTTTGCTATTTTGAAAGCTTGGGGAGACAAGTCTGAACTCTGTTCGTTTAGAGAGAAGTATTTGAACCCCTTTATCTATTCTATTCATCTTATTTTGCAATCTATTCAATCATGTGTGTTGTTTCAATATCCATGTCTGAGTAGTTAGTTTTTTTTGTTTAGGGTTCTCATTAAGGTTTCCTCTTGATGTTTGATTGATTGATTAAGTTAGGATTCATAATCATATTCTGGACTGATCACCTAAAACTTAGATCATTAGGTTACTTGATTGACACGGAAGTGTAATTGAATAACTGGAAAGAACCGAGGGTGAGCAAAGTAGTTATTCGCAAAGGAATTTGGTTTAGATACTTTGTGAACATATCGAACTTGAGTTTAAAGCTGGTTTAAATCTTTAGGCTTTGCAAAGGAATTTGGAATTCTAGGATTTTGTCTTAGATTATTCTCACAACGGAAGTTGGTTAATGATAATTTCGTGATTTGAGTTCAAGAACCGTGCTTAAACCTGAACCCTGACTAATCGATTAATCTGCATTCATTGATTTCCTGAGAAACGCCCTAAGCCTAATTTCATCCATCGTTTAACAAACTTTTATACTGCTTTTCTATTGCTTTATTATTTTAATTTACATTGTTTTGCTTAGCGTAATTCAATTTTAATAGGTTTATTGAGTGAATTTCTCGTCTCTGTGGTTCGACCCCTGCAATACTACAACTGTGCATTTGTGCTCTTGCAGAATAGCTTAGGGATTAAACTTTGAGCAGATCAATCCTTGAACAGGAACATGACCATTCCCACCACATGAAACCGTCTACGCAGCACCAAAATCTCTTAATTTTCAGATTATATCTAAACTTGTAGGCTCTGGAGATGGAGCATCATAAATTTTTTTATTCTTCTTAAACAGTGTCATGCTCCTTCGATATGGATCATCAGGGGGTACAAACCGTCGATGGCATTCAAACCAAGAAGTTTTTTGACTGTGTCGCAATTGGAATGCATCAGTGTTTTCTTGACAGTACGGACATGCTAGCATACCATATGCCAGAAAATCACTTATCGTCCACATAAGAACCGCTCGCATTACAAAATTCTGTTGTAGAGAAACATCATACGCTGCAATGCCATATTTCCATAACAGCTTCAACTCATAAATTAGTGGCTGTAAGAAAATATCAAGAGATCTCTTGGGGTGCTCTGGTCCAGGATCGAGTATTGTAAGGAACAAAAACTCTCGTTTCATGCACAAACTAGGTGGTAAATTATAAGGTGTGACAATTACTGGCCACAAAGAATATTGCTGCCCATGCTTGCCGTCAGAAAATTCCCGACAAATTCCCGACTGAACTATATACGTTTTGAATTTCAACATTTTTATTAAATTCGTCGGAATTCTGTTGGGAATTTCCCGACGGTTTCCGACAAAACATTTAAAAACCGACAATTTCAATACTCCTTTGGAAAGCAGTCTGGGATTTCAACCGATTTCCATCTAACTTCATTTTGTCGGTATTTTTCAGTTTTTCATCGGAATTCCGTCGGGAATTCGCGATAGAATATATTCCGTCGGAAATTCCATTTGGAATCGTAGTGTTTTCTTGTAGTGATATAGTGTATCTAAAACTAAGAGCCTTTAGAGGAAATAAGAGGCATCAGAAGCTGAAAAGGTTTAAGTCAAGGTATATGGGACCATACCCTATAGTCGAAAGAATTAGTGAAGTAGGATATCAACTGCAGCTGCCTCAGAGTTATCTAAACTTCATGATGTGTTCCACATTTTGCTACTTAGGAAGGTAAAAAGAGAACCAGAGTTCATTCTGCCCAACCCGCCAATCGACCTGGAAGGGAATTTGACAATTCAAAGAAAGCTGTCTAAGATTATGGAATTCGGAGACAATAAGGTTGATGGTAAGAAGACCAAGATGGTGAAAGTCAGTTGGGAAAGAAATGGTATTCACGAAGAGACATGGGAACCAGAGCTTCAGATGAGAAACGAGTACCATAAACTCTTTCCGGACGGAATGGAAACCGATGAGGAGGGAATGAATTCGAGAATGAATTCTTTTCAACAGGGGAAGAGTTGTACCAAACCTAATTCCCAGGCCTAGCAGGAGGCTCAACAGCCGGCCCGCTCTAGGAACCCTAGCTCCTATCTCCCTTTAAATAGAGAGCCTCCCTCTCACTTTTTCCATCATCATCATTTACAGCCACCCTGAGAAAAAGAGTGAGAGAGAGAGAGAGATTCCCTATGCTCCAAGCCATCAGCCGCCGCCGTCCGCCGCCGGAGAGAGAAAAATTTTCCGAGAATCCCATCCATCTCGTCGGCTCCTTGATTTCTTTGTCATGCGCTCTCCTTGATCTAGATCTGCAAAACTGTCAAGGTGAAGATTAGATCTAGGCTTTTATTGCTTTATTTATTTGTCTTTGATGTGTTGAGTTTAGATCTATTCAGGTTGATTCGTGTCACAAAGTACGGAGACGAATATTATTGATGCATATAAATAAGAGTATGAGAAGGTGAATTGATTAAGGAAAACATGAGATGAAGCACCAACATACTTGTTTGTTCATCTCGTTTTCTTGGCTAATGATTGTAGAGTAGTTAGAACAAGGTGATCGACCTATGTGGAGACACATGGTTTGTTTATTGTATGATGGGGGTCATCCCCAGAAGAAAGGATAATCTTCTTTGGTGGTTGAGGCAAACCACATAAATGTCTGCGTGACCAATAGTTTTCCATGCCTCGTTAGCATGATGTGGTTTTTCCTACCTCGTTAGCATGATGTGGTTTTCCATGCTTTGTTAGCATGATGATCTGGTGCGCGTGAAATTGCTTGTGTGCTTTTAGAGCACTCCTTGTTACTTGTTTAGTTTTAGGCTGGACATGTTGAAAATAAATAGATAAATGTAGTAGAAATTTTATTTGGTCCTCACTGACTAATTCCCCAATTATTCATCCCTCATTCTTTATTTCAGACAAATCAGGCTGTCACACATTCGATTTCGTATCGGTTTACTATATTAATTAAATAAAATAACACATTTATGTTATTCCATTAATAAATTCAATGTCTTGTAATTAAGAATCCATAACTTAATATTAAAATAAAACCAAAGTAAATGTAGAAACAGTCTTTAAATAAATCATCAAAATTCAAATAAACTAAAAAAAACCAAAGATATACAAATGATTGTGTAATGGAAATTTAAAAATATGATTCTATACAACAATGAATAGAAAACATTTTGATACAAAATCTGCGTCGCGTGGAAAATCTCCTAGTTATCACAAAAACTGAGTACATATTATGAGAATATTTTTTAAAAAAATTATAAGTTGTGGACATTAAAGTGAATTGAAATGTCTAAGGACATATAGTAAATTTTGAAAAAATAGCAACTTATCGACTAACTGTTTTTCTCTTTAAAATACCAATGGCTCATCTTTTTGTATGTTAACTCATATGGCATCATGGCATCTTAGAGCATCTCTATCAGTAGCTGAATGACTCAAAAGATTGTGTGGTTCATAATAATACTATATAATATTAGTATTCTAATGTAATTTAGTTCTAATAATTAAATTTTATTTAAATAAAAAATTGACCAACAAATATATAGACAAATGGTTCAAAAGTATCTTAAATGAGAGACCCATCTTAATTATTACTCCCTCTTGTCTCTTCCTTATTTATTATTATTATTATTTTCAATGTTAAGAAACTATTATGAGACAACTGGAACTCTTATTACCACTTTTCAGCAAGTCCACGATTTTTACTCCTTGGTGCAATGCGCATCTGTGCCATGCTGAGTACACTTACTATACCCAACGCTTTTTAGGAAATCACGTATCTCTTTAGAGCTACTATTGCTTGCCTTGAGCAATCCTTCATCCTCTTCATAGATTAGATAAGGAGCTTCTGCTGGTTTTCTTGAGAGTAGTTTTTTTGCACCCGCTAAAACGTGGTACTCCCAACCTTGAACATCGATCTTGATAAGAAGAATAGGCTGAGAAGGGGGGATAAGTTCATCAAGAGGTATGGTTTTCACTTGGACTGCTATTTCGTGGGACTTGATATGAAGTCTTGCACCCACCTCTGAGACGGCGCTGTTGTCAAGCCGTCCAACCAGCTGTATCAACAACAATTGAATCCACATTTAGCAAGACCCAACAAACAAGATGGGTGGTTGTAAGGTTAAACCAATTATACGGTTGCATTGGCAGCTTGTGAACTAGGCAATTGGTTAACATTCAGTGTCACCTAGCAGACTAGGCATATGCATACTAAGTACATTAGCTCTTTGACATCATATCTGTAAAATAGAAATGAGCTCTTTCCTCATATTTCTCTCTGGATTGCGACTATTCATCTTCTTATTAACCTCTGTATCATTCACTCTGTTACATGATTTGGCTTCAAATAAACTGAATCCTAAAGTAATAGTCTCAGTAACAGCAATAAGATGCAAGAGAATCCTGGATTATAAGCTAATCTATCTATAAGCAGAAACAATGCTCTTTTCTCACTAGGCTAATCTCAGATTGTATAAATGTGGTTTTAGACATACCTTGTGGAAGGTTATGTCCCCATTTCTATCAGAAGCAGCAGCTTCAAACACGGTAACCAAAGAGGCAACTCTGTTGAACCAAATCCCATCACAGATCCTCTGTAAATTCTCAAAAACAGGCTCAAAAGCAAGCACTTTAAACCCCATAGCAGCCGCAGCAAAGCTAGCCATACCCACATTAGCTCCCACATCGAGAAAAAACCCATCTTTGCCATTAGCCCTCATCTTCTCCAATACCTTCTGAATCGTGCCGGAGATGTCTGGCTTCCCAAAGGGCTTTCCTTTGAGCAGGCGGATGATGTTCTTGTTGGGATTTCCCGGGAGATTACCAATGTCAGCGATGGAATAGACAAAAGGGTATTTGAGATTCTCGACGACGTTTGCGATTATGGGATTTGATTGAGGACATTTGAAGCAGTCGAAAGGAGGGATTGGGAATTGGATATTGATTGAATGATTGGGATTGGAGTTTTGGAGAAATGAGAAAGAGAATAAGAAGCGAGAGGAGAGTAATATGATGGAGAGGAGAAGAAGAGAGATTAATGTCTTGGGTGTCAAAAGCTTCTGGTTCGTGTCTCTTTTCCAGGCGTTCGCCATGGAAATGGCCCCCAGGTAAGTTATTCTCACATAAAGTTTCGATCTCACTTTGATGAAAGCAGAAGAAATAAGTTTTGTGATTTTAGAACTGACAAACAACAACGAGAGATCTTGATTCGTATCCTCCCGTTTAAGAAAAACAAGGAGAGGCGCGCAAGTTTCCAATTTCGGACACCAGATTTTACAAGATCACTACACTACACTTGGACATTATATATAGAGGGATGTATTTGGAGTAGTTTATATTTAAAACACAAGGTGTAGTTGGAGTAGTTTAGTATTAAAAACACAAATCTTATGTTACTTAAACATGATTTTTTTTTTTAAAAAAAAATCAATATTATTGAAATAGTGATTTGTAAATGAACCTTTAAATGCACTATTATTGGAAATGGATTTTAGAGGATTTTTAGTGATTTGTAAATGAACCTTTAAATACACTATTATTGGAAATGGATTTTAGAGGATTTTTTAGTGATTTGAAAATGTTTTAGGAGAATAAGTTAAAACTATCATAAATTAGTAATGATATAAACTTTTTATTTTGTCAAAAATAATGATATAACATAGTTATTTAAATATATAATACAATTTCCTAAAGTATGAATTTAGTGTTTGTTTGTTTTTCCTTTAACTTTTTTTTTAATTTTTTTTTATTACATCAAAACTTATAGTCTGGTCTTCTTATATGCATTAAAAAAAGTTATAGGCATGATAATTAACTATGTGTAAATCTTTCAAATTATTGTAATATCCTATTATATTTTGTCATCTATATTAATAGTCATAAGTTTTTCTTAACTTTTAACTTATAAAATGGTTTATGTTTATACTAGATAAGTATCCGCATATATGTAGATATAATAAAATATTTTATAATCTAAAAACAAAAGACAATGAAAAACAAAATGAAATCATGCATGTAAATATGTAATATATAAACTAGATTCTAACCCGTGCATCTGCACAAGAATATTTTTTTATAATAAATATTATAATATAGTTAATATTTTTAGGGTGCTTAGATATAATATGTATTTTAGATATAATTTATTTTTATAGATATAATTTTTCTAATAAGTGATAAATCTTTATTTTTCTGTTTAGATATAATTTATTTTTGTAAATTTATTTTTTTCTAGTTTTAAATATAACCGTGATTGTAAAAACATAATTATAATCCACGTATTTATATTAACTCAAAAAATTGTGATTATAAATCTAATCCACCTGTTTATACTACTGTATATAAAACAAATATTTATTCATTTTTTTCAACTACTCAATTATTACATCACTATTGGCCCGTTTAAGGGTTGATCCGAAGAACCACCGCCACTGGCTCGTTATGAATGATTTGGAAAAAGATAATGCATTTTGCTCAAGCTCTTTTAGCAAGGCTATCCGTTTGGATATTTAAACTTTTGGGAATGTGAGAGAGAATGAAGGTCCCGAAGCTTTCTCGGAGGTTTTTGAAGACTTCCAACTCTGATAAGAAGGATGGCCAAACCGATTTGATTTATGTCATGCTTACCAAATCCAAGCAATCGAACTGAAAATGTACAGATAGAACCCTCTATCTTTCAGGCAAGACATAGCCCACAGGAGCCTATCCAACCTTGCATGGAGAGCCGAGAGACTTCGACGACAGCCCTGAAGGCCAAAAATCTCACCACTCCCTTCCTTCTTTAGACTCCATCCGAACCCACTAACCAGGTTGCTGCCTATCCAATATGCATCAACCTGACAAATCGGAAGCCTCTGGCCATCTGGAAGCGTCTTCTTCTTCTTCTTCTTCTTCTTCCGACTCGTTCGCACTCTTCCAGCTTTGTTTAATTTTATTTATCTAAAATAAACTACTATTTTTTAACATTTTAAGATTAGGAATCGTTCATAAAATTTATTTTTTGTTTATATTTTGTTCTAAAACATGATTTAAAATTTATTAAACATGTGTCAAAATATAATTGGAAATTTTTTAAATACTTCAAAATTCATTAAATACATTAAAATTTATTAAATTCATTAAACATGTGTCAAAATATAATTTGAAACATCCTCTTTTTTTTTTTTTGTCAACAGCGTTAACTACCTATAACGAGTCAGCTAACCAACTCGGAGGAATAGAGTTTACATAAATGACTTCTTGGGGGTAGGTCCGGGCACTCCGTGCCAGATTGTTTAATTGCAACATCCTCTTATATAATAAGATATAAAGAATCTAGTAGGTACATAAATTTAATTGCAATATATTAATCATTGTCTTATTCATGCATGCATGTCATTTTAACAAATAAATTAATCTAAATTCTTAATATAATATGATTTGAAGAATAATTTAAGAAGATTATGTACGATTTATTTTTTTTCTATCCATGAATTAGTACAATCCCTGAAGAATGATGCGTTTTGTTTGTATCATTTACTTTCTTTTTTTTTTTTGGTTGTTGCAGGACGTGAAGGAGAGCCATCGCTAATGCCAAAGATGCGTTGAAAGTCGAAACATTTGGGAGACTGCGAAAATACTAATTGCAGAACGTTATAAACCAAGTAACCAACCACACATAATTGTTTTCGTTATCAGTAGCTGTGTAGTCTCTTTCCGTCATTAAACTAAATTAGTTATTAATCATATGTCTCTATCCTTTAAACTAAAGTTGATTAACTACGCCGATACCATATTAGAGGATGGTTGTAAATAACTTCTTTCCCACCAAAATTAAGTTGATCACAAGCTATTCTTTATATACACTAAAAACAGAGTAATTAAGTGAGACTACATAACAACTTACTAATTATCTAATTAACTTCAAACGCAATATTACTAAGAGCTATAATACAATATATATATAATATATTATATAAAAATACTTATATACTAATGTACACATGAAATATCATTCACTTCATTCCAAAGTTATCCAAGTTTAGATCTATCTATAAACCCCAAGTTGTCAACATATGATATTTCCTATAAGAGAGTTGTACTCCGGCCTCTAATTTCGATCATAGCCTAAGATCGATCTAACTCTACACATTTTCGAAAGCATCAATTTTTTTATTTAAGGTTGTTAGAATGTGGTAGACTCCATTTAATTTGTTCACGCGCGGGATTTAGTTTAGTTCACTTTTCTCTTATTTCTATTGGCTTCATCTCATTCTTTGCAATCAGTTACGCCCTTATCTAATATATGATATGATGTAAAGTGACAAGTATATAAAACTAAATTATTCTTAACTTTTCATATGCGCCAAAATAACCAATGAAATAGCTTAACCAATAATCCACCTCGTCATTTTCTCAATCTAGAAACAAACAATGCCCAAGGTGTTATAAGATTGGGAACACTCCAATTCATGATCACTCAATGATCAAGAGATTCCAAACTTAACATTGCAAAAGTTGGAATTGAAGTCAGGATGAAGGTAATGATAGGTAAATTAATCGCTCAATCAAATGGACAAACAAGTGAGTTTGAATCTCGCGAACAAACTTAATCCTCAGTAATAGACCAAAAGTTTCTTGCATACTTAGGATCTAAACAAAAATCTTCTTACATTTGTCTCCTCCCTCTTCTTCAATGTTTTGGCCTCATCCAGATTCTTATTCTACTTATAATTTTTCTTTTCTTTGTTTTTGTCATCTATCCTTCTTGTCTTTTCTGAGTTTTCTTCATTGTTTTAGTCTTCGTCTTCCTCATTTATTTATCTTTAAGTTTTTATTATTGGTCATCTTTTTGTTTTCATCAGCTTTGGCTTCTACAAATTCAATTTAATTTTTTCTGTTTCTCACCCTTTCGATTTTTCTTCGTCATTTTTTCTATTTTTTCTCCTCCATCTTCTACATTATTTTCTTTCAGAATGTGTGATTTAGCACCCATCAGAGAGTGGAGAGACACCAAATATAAAAATATATATGGTTTCTAGCTAGATGGTGAGCGTCAAAATAAGGATTACCCAATAAAATACATATGTACGTCTTCTGGTCAGAGATTTAGTAATCAGTTTGATTTTGGATTGTTTCTTGTCGTTAATTTAGTCACCATATATATTTGATCTGATCGAACAAAGTGAGACATTAATTAAGCTGATCGAGTGAGTGATGTTCAAGAAATCTTTTGTTTTTGTTTTTGTTTTGGTAGCTGTAGTAGTAATTGGAGATGAGAAAAAGGAAACGACGCCTAGGGCCTTGCAAGTTGGCTGAGTTTTTGAACAGCGAATTTTTCCATTACACTAATGTGATCTTTTGCCTTTTTCTTTAAGCCTTATTTCGACTTGATTTGTCTCATTTAATTATGTTGATGTCACTTTTCTTTTATCTTTTCCATTTCATTAATAGGTAATTCTATAAAGCCTATTAATATATTCATATCTTTACATGTTTAGGATGCATTTTTAGTCCAAGTATTGAATCTCATGCATACATATAGGTAGTTTTCTTTAAATTTTGTCTTTGTTTTAGCTTTTGTAGGAAATGCATTAGGTTCAAAAGAGTCTTGCATATTTATAGTGTTTCTTAAGTATTTTAGAGGCATTTGGGGACCTAATGGAGCTGAGATCAGATGAGAAAGCCCTTATATTGGTGTATGTGCTCGGATAAGTATCTTCACCTGGCAAGACGTTTGACAGATTGCCTGAGTTGAAGGCTTTACACTTCAATTCAACCTCCGGTGTCTTCACCAAATTTGTAGAGTAACCAGTCATCTTTCCATAACACTTGGAATCAGGCGATTTGGAGCACTGAGCCGGACGATACAGCCGATTAAAGATGAACTTGTCTTGGAGCCATTCCATTCCAGTGTGATGCGCCTCAAAGAACTGCTGTAATGGAAGCCTTGATTTCTCGGGATACATATGCTCCATTCACCAAAGTTGGTGCTGATTGAGTCACCTTTCTCATGGAGATGGAAATCGATTACCGGATCATTGAGAAGGAAATTATGTCAGGTTAAGTGTGAAGGGGTCTATTTCCACACCGAGATGAGTACCGGGAGAATGATGGCCAGAGTATGCAACATTTTGAGGATTTGTCACTTCATAACCTTCACCACTCCGAGCAAGATCATCCCAAGTGAAGCCCGGTGTAATCTCTGTAGTCTTGAATCACCTCTTCACTCCAGAATGCACACCGGCTTATTCATGCCCGGTGTAATCTCCAATGCTTGGACTTGTTTCTTCACTCCGGCTTCTACATCTGCCAAAACAACGCAGGAGTCAGCTTACAAGTCATCTTCAGGACACATTCACTCCGGCCATAGCATCGGCCATATGATGCCCGGAGCAAATGTGTCAACATTTTTTATTGTGTTTCCTCTGGGTCAACACCCGGTTTATTCCAGGTTGACCCTGGACTTAAGGACTTAGTATTAATACGTTTTAGGGTTTTTTCCAAGAGACTTATTCTTTATTCTCTAAACTTATTTGCCTCTTTGGTGTTAAAAGAAATCCTTGTGAGAGATATCTCATTTGGAAAGCTTTATCTTTGAATCTATCATCACTTCTCTATCTTCTACCCTTCTTTCATCTCTATTAATGCTTAACTTCTCATCTTGCAAAGGATTTAGAGAGTTAAGTATGATTAGTGAGTAGTCTTTTTATTAAGCTTCTAGGTGTGTAGATTAGGGTGCTTAGATGTTTAGTTTATGATGTTTAGGTTCTAGATTCTCATTTCCTTTCCTTTCTTGGCTGTTCTTAATGCTGGATCTTTGATAATCACTCTGATCCAGATTCAAGGCATTTCTCCACCCACAACATGTTTGATGAAATGTCTGAATGAGCCAAAAAAGGGTTTATGCTTTAAATGCCATGAGAATGTTTGTTTGAAGCATAGATGACATGTTAGAACTGATTATTAATGCATCTTGATCATCATTACACTAGTGAGAATTAGGTTTGAATGTTGATTAGGATTGTGATTGATGCCTTGAGAGAGAATTAATCTTGTTTAGAGTTCTAAGTTGATTGGAAATAGAGATCATGTGATGTTTGCCATGTCTTTCTGTATAAGATTAGTCTATCATAGCTTTTGCTCGAATGCATTAAGAGGCTGTTTGGTCATATTAGACATTGAACCTTATGCTTGTTAATTGCCTTTTCACTAATGAGAATTGGCCTTGATTAGGTAATTATCAAAGAGATTATTGTCATGAGAGTGAATTAATCTGATTTGGAAGTCTAGACTAAAGAATTGCAAGTGTCTCATTGTTTGCTTAGCATCATGAATTAGCATTTAAAGCACCATGATCAATGATCACATCTAGAGGTTTAGCTTTATCTATTTTTGAATTTGAGTCTTTATTTGCTTATCTTGCTTGTCTTGTTAAGTTTTTAGTTTGTTTATCATCAGTTCTTGTTTAGATTTTATAGTTTAATCCTGTTTGATCACCACTTGTTTAATTAGACTTGGATTAAGAATTGATTCTCATAGTTCTAGTGCCTAGAAACCTCCATTTGGATTGATACCTTAAATGCTACAATGATATGAGTAGTTTGAGTAATTGGGTTTGAACCTAAAAGTTCTTACTATCAATTTGACGCCGTTGCCAATTGGAGAGTTTAATCTAGCATTAAGACTTTGGATCTTCTTGAGATCAAGTCATTTTCTTTTGTTTTACTAATTAGCTTTCAAGTGCTGCCTTTGTTTTCAGGTGTATGAACACCAGAAGTCAAGCAAGAAGACAAAGAGAAAGAGCTGAGCACATTGAGAGATTAGCTATGGATCAAGAGCAACAGGCTCATGGTGGTAATGGAAACCACCAAGATCAGCGAGAGGGTCCACCACTACGTCCAAGAACAGTTGTAGGAGTTGGTGATGAGGCCAATGCTCAGGGTCAGAGACATGAGATTCAAGCTCCAACACCTGAAAACGATTTTGAGATCAAGTATGGCTTGATCAATATGGTCCAATCAAACAGATTCCATGGCTTGGCATTAGAAGACCCATTGGATCATGTTGACAACTTTGATAGAGTTTGTGACTTAACAAAAATGAATGGAATGAGTGAGGATAGCTTCAAGTTGAGGCTATTTTCATTTTTTCTAGGAGACAAAGCTCATCAATGGGAAAAGTCTTTACCTCAAGGATCAGTTCCAACATGGGAGCAATGCAAAAGAGCATTTCTGATTAAGTTCTTCTCTTCATCAAGAACAGCAAGGTTGAGAAATGAAATCTCAAGTTTCATACAGAAGAACCATGAATCATTTCTTGAGTCTTGGAAAAGATTTAAAGGGTATACCATGCAATGCCCCCACCGTGGATTCTCAGACTCACAGCTGCTAAGTACCTTCTACAGAGGTACTTTACCAAAGGCCAGACTCCTCTTGGACACAGCCACAAATGGTAATTTCATGACCAGGGAAGTCAATGATGACATGACCCATGTGGAGACTGTCCCTCAGAGTGATGAGCTTTATGGGTCATACTTTGACAGGAATTCAAGAGGAGCTATGACAAGGAAAGACATCAAATCTCTTAATGAGAAGCTATATAAAATTCTCCTAGCTTCTCATAAGTCAGTCAAGAGATGTGAATCATGTATTTTATGAAAATTTTCAAGGGAAAGACATCGCAGCTGAGGTAAACTTTGTAGGTGGCCAAAAGGTTACCAAAAGGGATTTAACTACTACAAGAATCCTCTAACCCAGAACTTATATCCTCAAAACACTCAACAACAAGGTTTTGTCCCTCCCCAACAGCAAAGTCTCCAACAGCAAAGTCTCCAACAACACTCAGTGAATAAGGATCAAGAAATGAAGAACCTGCTCCAGCAAATCCTAGAAGGTCAAGCAAGTGGTGTCATGGACTTCAGAAATAAAATGGCAGAGATCCACGACAAGGTGGATTGCTCTTATTCTGATCTTATTACTCAGCTCGCAACATTGGCTTCCAAAGTCAAGATTCTAGAGAACAACAAGGGCCACTCCACTTCTCAAGCTCAAGGATATTTACTAGGAACATCAGTTGCAAATCCAAGAGAATACTGCAATGCAATCCTCTCAAATGATGAGAATCATGCTGCTGTCCAAGAAATTGAGAATCTTCTGCATGGCAAGGTCTCAACTGAGAATACCCTCACTGATGAGGATGAGGACGCCATAGCATAACAGTTTGAAAGCCTGTTCTATGATCTCAATGCGGACATTTAGAAAGAAGGTGGGGAGGCAGCTAGTTTTGCTATGAGGAAGAATGCTCTTGAGATTGCTGAAATCAAAGAACAGGAAAGGGTTCAAGAAAAGACAACTGATGGAGTCTCTAGCATTGGTTCAACAAGGGTGAAGCATAAATTCATTCCAAAGCTAGGTAATCCAGGAAAATTCTCCATCTCATGCTCTCTTGGAAGTTTGAAAGTGGACAATGCTTTGTGTGATTCTGGATCAAGCATCAGTGTAATGTCTTTAGATATGGTGGAGAGACTAGGGATCAAGACTCTAAAGCATCACCCTATATCAATTACCTTTGGATATTCATTTTCAAAGAAGTCATATGGAATCCTTGAAGATTACCCACTAAAGATTGGTGAATGCATAGTTCCAACTGATTTTGTGGTAATGAAGATGAAGAAGACCAAAGAGCTTCCTCTCTTGCATGGAACTCCTTTTCTAAACACCACAGGAGCAAAGATTGACTTTGATACTCAAAGAGTGGTGTTTACAAAGGTAGATGATGAAGTTTTCTATCCTCTTAAGCCTCCTCTTGTTGGGTTTTGTAGAGTTGTATCTGAAGATGTTGATGAGTTCAAAGACTATAAGATGAAGTATGTGGGGAGTATTGGAACTATAGAGGAAGCTCAACCCCTTACAGATGTTGACAAGAAGAAAGAATCCCTAATAAGACCTGATCTTGAGTTTGAAGGAGATTTCTTTAGTGATGATGAAGCTTGCTTGGAATCTCTATCTCCTACACCAAGTGAGAAAGAGCTCAGCAACAACAAAGGCAAAGGTTCAAGCTCCCAATACAAGAGCCCAACAAGCACCAAACCATTATCTCTTGGATCTTCTTCTAAAGTCTTAACTCTCACTCCATGGAAGTTTTATTGGTGGAACTGTAGATTACAAGGTTCAAAGCAATGGAGGATCAAGACTATTTGCTAAGGTCAGGGCAATCCTCACACCAGAATTCAAGGACAAAAGCTCAGCTGGTGTTCGAGAGCTGATGAACAAGGTCCTTACACTTGAGATCATGGAAAAGACAAGGAGCATCAATGCTCCTCCTCCCCCTCATTAAAAAGAGTGTAAGAAGTCAAACTTCTTAAAACAAAGTGCTTTTGGGAGAGATTCTCATGTCTATATTTGTAAATACATTTTTCATGCTTTTTCTTTTATGTTTCTGTGATATTTTGATGTATCTGTGTAGTGTGATCAGGTGTATAGGTGTTAAAGAAGTTTAACAAAGGGGAATGAGGCCAAAGAAATGGGAAAAGAGGAGTAGCATCAAAGTTCAAAACCGTTCAACTTCACTCCGGCCACAACATTGGCCAAAACTTACTCCAGAGTGGAGCTTTTGCTTAAGGAAAAGCTTACTCCGGAATGTACACCGGCCAAATGCACCCCAAAGTAAAGCTAACCTCAAAACGTGGTGTTTTACACCGGCCAATACCTCGGGGAAAAGCAACCTTGTGTAAACTCCACCTCAAAATGCGATGTTTTACACCGAGTTCAACATAGGGGAAAGGAACCTCGGAGTGGTCTTGGTCTCAAGACGTGATGAAGCACACCGGGAAGAACATCGGCCAAACAATGCCCGGTGTAAACTTGGCCTTAACTGATGCAGATTCACTCCGGCCACAACATCGGCCAAACACATCCCAGAGTGAACTTGGCCTAAGTCAGTGATGATGCACCACTCTGGCCACAACATCAGCCAAGTCATGCCCGGAGTGGAAGACACACCCCTTTACCCATCCTATTCAGTTGGATCTCCAACCCCATCTCAAAGTCCATAAGAGGTAACACTCCAAACATTTGTATATAGCATTTGCATTCTTGTTTTTTCTCTTTGCAAGCTTTTTTTTGTGTTTTTATATCCTTTCTCATGCTTTAATTACACAAGGGAGTGTGTAATTTAAGTGTGGGGGAGGGGTTTAATGTTTGCTAATCTTGTTTGTTCATGTCTTATTTTTCTTTGCATCTTGAGTCTGCATATAAATGTATAGAAAAATCAAAAAAAAAATTCACAAATTTGAAAAATTTTCACAAAAAATGTTCATTTAGTTGCATTCACATCTTAGGATTGAGTCTAGGTTGCATTTCATCTAGGTTTGCATCATTTGCATAGGGAGTAATGATAGATTTTTTCTTAAGAGAGCATCATTTTAAAAGTTTGATTCATTGCCCTAGTTATTAGTTCTTTGATGCATGCAAGTAATGAAATATGCAACATGGTTTATATCTTAGTTGAAGAAAGTTTTTAACTGAACCCAACCCTGACCTTAATCTGAAATGAAAAATTATCATGTGGTGCATTTTCAAATGAACTTGTGGATAGCATAGACATATTTGGGCTAAACTCCTTTCTACCACTCTCTTCTTATCTCAAATAGTTACCACACCCTAAACCTAACCTTCTTTCAAGCCTAAACTGTTTGTGAGTGATGAGAGGCCACCTTTGATCAATCTTAGCAGAAAGTGTTAGGTTTAGAACGACAAAGGTAAGCCTCATGATACTTAGTTCCATCATCAAGGGACTAATAGATCTTGGTGAGGATTAAGTATGGGGGAATTGTTTGTTGGTGAGAGCATAAAGAAAGAATCCATGGGGAGTGAGTTGAGAAAGAAAGTGAAAAGAAAAGAGAGGTGTGAGAACTAGGGGATTGTAAAAAGTGAAATGACTGGTGTCTAGTTTTTAAATAAGAGCTCTAAGTGTTTTGAAATAAAGAGAAGCCTCTAAGTATTGAGAAAAGAAAAGAAAAGAAACCAAAATGGCTCAAGCATCAAAGTTTGATGAGAGAAGAGGCTAGCTAAGAAATGAGAAGTGAAACGAGCTAAGTGAAAAGAAAAGACACCATAAAATGTTTTGAGACATCTTCTAGTGAAAACATATGAGTGAGATGAGAGAAAGAGGTTCATGAGAGGGTGGATTAAGTGTGAGACTTTGGGTTAGATGCACCTTAGGTATTAGGGTTGGTACTGGGGTAGATGAGTTCTTACCCTTGTATGCATCAGTTGCTTTTTACCTTTAGCATTCTACCAAAGTTTGATCATTCAAAAAGAGATCTCTTGCGCTGAATTGAAACCACATATGTATTGAATGAGATCGTCTGTTTGAATATGCACCATTTTGACACACTTGAAATCACTTAATGAATGTTAAGGGGCGAAGGGATAAGAATGCTTGTGTAGATTAAGGTTTGAACTTGTTCCATTCAGAGTATATTGCTTGCATTGCATTTTAGAACTAGTAACTTCGGCAATGAGTTTTGAATTCTTTTGATGATCATCTCTTTTTAAGGAATATGAACTCCCAACTTCAAATCTTTCTCTCTCATTTGTTTTTTTTTTTTTTTTTTGCTTGAGTTTAAGCAAAGGAAAAGTGTGGGGAAGTTAATATACTCATATTTTTACATGTTTAGGATGCATTTTTAGTCCAAGTATCGAGTCTTATGCATACATATAGGTAGTTTTCTTTGAGTTTTGTCTTTGTTTTAGCTTTTGTAGGAAATGCATTAGGTCCAAAATTGTCTTGCATATTTGGATTATTTCTTAGGTACTTTGGAGGAATTTGGGGACCTGATGGAGCTGAGACCGGATGAGAAAGCCCTTATATTGGTGTATGTGCTCGAACAAGTATCTTCACCTGGCGAGATGTTTGACAGATTGCCTGAGACGAAGGCTTTACACTTCGATTCAATCTCTGGTGTCTTCGCCAAATTAGGTAGAGGAGCCAGTCCTCTTTCCAGAACACTTTGAATCAGACGATTTGGAGTACTGAGCCAGAAGATACAGAAGATTTAAGCTGAACTTGTCTCGGATCCATTCCAGACCAGTGCAATGCGCCTCAAAGAACTACTGTAACGGAACCCTTGCTTTCCCCAGATGCATATGGTCCCTTCACCAAAATTGGATCTGATTGGGTCACCTTTTTGCTGGAGCTGGAAAATAGAGTACCGGATCACTGAGCAGGAAGTTATGGCAGGTTAAGTGAGAAGGGGTCCATTTCCACACCGAGATGATTACCGGGAGAATGATGGCCGGAGTATGCAAAATTTTGAGTAACCTTCACCACTTCGAGAAAGATTATCCCGAGGTGAAGCTCAGTATGTAGTCTTGAATCACTTCTTCACTCCGGAATGCACACCAGCTTATTCATGCCCGATGTAATCTCCAATGCTTGGACTTGTTTCTTCACTCCGGCTTCTACATCAGCCAAAACAACTCCGGAGTCAGCTTACACTTTCAAGACACCTTCAGGACACATTCACTCCGGCCACAACATCGGCCATATGATGCCCGGAGCAAATGTGTCAGCATTTTTTTATTGTGTTTTCTCTGGGTTAACACCCGGTTTGTTCTGGATATTGAGCAAGATGTTCTAGACCCTCAAAGGAGTAAAGGCCCAGAGATTATAAAGAAGTCCATGAAGAGAATCAGCATTGTCTCGGTAGAAAAAGGGACTTGTCCGTAAAATGGTCCCCCCCCCCCTTAGCGCGTGTAGACACGGTCAATGTTACCATTATGGGACGTCGCTTTCTGCTCAGTCTGGACACGCCCATTCTCTCCTCACATGTTTCTTTATACTCTCTAGATATTTTTAGACCTAGAGTTCATATTTTCTCTCTATATATGAACCTTGTAGCCGCATTTTTTATCAAAACATTTTAGGAGACATTTCTATCCATTTCTCTCAAACTCTCAGACTCTTATTTTCTGCAATAATCTCCTAAATGTTCTAACATGGTATCAGAGCATTAGGTTCCGATTTCCTGAGTCTCTTTTCTACATTCTTCAAATCTTATTCTCTAAATCTCTCACTCTCTAGTTCGTTCATCATTTCTTTTCCTGTTTCTCAACTTTTCTCAAAAACAAAATGAGTTCAAATGATGTTAACACCGAGATCTCAAAACTAGTGGTTATTCCTGTCATCTTCAAAGGAGGAAACTACTTGTTGTGGTCAAGAACCACAAAGCCTGCTTTGTGTGGATAAGGGCTCTGGAATCAAGTCTTGGAAGAGAAGATTCCAGAAGAAGGCGCCACTGAAGAAGGAAAGAAGGATGAAGAAGCTAAAGCCGCTGAAACAAAATGGTTTCAAGAAGACCAAGTTGTGCTCGTCCTCATCCAAAACTCTCTTGAACCGAGTTTTCTTGAGACAAATTCCTACTGTGAGACCGCCAAATCTCTGTGGGAAACCCTCAAGAATGTCTTTGGAAATGTTTCAAACCTGAGCCGAGTGTTTGAAGTGAAGAAAGCTATAAACGACTTGAGCCAAGAAGACATGGAGTTCACCAAGCACCTTGGGAAGTTCAGATCTCTGTGGGCCGAGCTAGAGATGCTTAGACCAAGCACAATGGATCCAAAGGTGATTCTTTAAAGGTGTGAGCAAGACAAAGTGTTCGGCTTGCTTCTCACCTTGAACCCGACTTTCAATGACCTCATCAAGCACATCTTGAGAGAGGACAAGCTCCCAGATTTGGAGGACGTGTGTACTAGAATCTAAAAGGAGCAGGGATCTATTGGTCTCTTCAAGAAGCAAGAGCTCATCTTGGCAAACAAAGGAGTTTTAAAGCCAGATGAGAGAAAGTCGTGGGTGTTTGACCACTGTAAGAGATGGGGTCATATCAAGGATAAATGCTGAATCTTGCACCCGCATCTCAAGCCAAATAAGTTCAAGGTGACAAGAGCAAATCTTTCTCAAGAAGGTGCCGGCGCTTCAACTCAAAGTGAAAATATTGCCATGAATGCCTCGGTGGACTATGTGACAAAAGGCGATCTTGAGGCTCTCATCAAAGCCTTTGCATCAAAATAGTCTGGTATTACATTCTTCTCTAACAAACCTAGTAGCACTCTTGTTGTAGATTCAGGGGCTTCTCATCATAGCTTTAGTAACCCTAAGCTTCTAAACAATATAGAACCTGCTCTAGATAAAGTTGTGATAGCTAATGGTGATGGAATACCCATATAAGGAACCGGTAAACTTAAACTGTTTGATAAAGATAGTGAAGCCCTCTTTGTGCCTAAGTTTACTTCGAATTTAGTATCTGTTAGAAAAACTACTAAAGACTTAAACTGTTATGCGATTTTGGCCCTAATGATGTTCGCTTTCAGGATATTGAGAATGGGAAGTTGTTTGGAAAAGTTGAAACTAAAAATGAGCTTTATGTTCTTGAAGACATTTCACCATGCAAAACTGATGTTTTTCCTTTTAAATTGTTTTTCCGCAAGTCTGAACTCTATTTGGCATGCTAGATTAGGTCATCCTCATAGTCGTGCCCTTGAATTAATGTTGCCTGATGGTTCTTTTGATAACACTAGTTGTGAATCTTGTATTCTCGGTAAACATTGTAGAATTGTTTTTCCTAAGTCATCTACTCTTTATGAACATTGCTTTGATTTTGTTCACTCTGATGTTTGGACTTCACCTTGCATGTCTAGGTATAGTAACAAATACTTTGTGACCTTTATTGATGAGAAATCAAAATATACATGGATCACATTACTTCCTTCAAAAGATCATGTGTTTGAAG